GTTGGGTTGGGTTGGGTTGCGTTGGCTTGGGTTGAGTTGGGGCGAGCTGGCGTCGGCCGCTGCGTCGTTGTCTCTCTGTGCCCTCTGGGGTCCGAGGTGGTTTGGGGGTGGGTGGTGGAGGCGGTGGCAGGTGGAGGAGCCTGGCAGTGCCACCACCTCCTGAGGGGTCTCATCCGTCGCCGCGGCTGTTGGGGCTCTGTGCTTTGGGAAGCGTCGCGTTCGGGAACGAGGTTTCCGTCGGGAAACCCCTGAAGCTTCACCCCCTTGGGGAAGGGAGGAGGGCGTGGTCTGGGGTCCAGTCCAGCCAAGACAGGACACAACCTCTGCCTTGGGGGTCCATGTTCACCCCCAGGGTGTGTTGGTACCGTGAGGGGAAGCTTGAGGGGTCCTTCCCGAGTGGATTTGGGTCTGGGCTGGTCCCTCTCCCTCAGCACTGTTCAAACAGGGTCAGTCCAGAGCAGAGCCCATCCCAAGCAGCTCCCAGGGCTCAAAACCCTGAGCTTGCACCAAAACCAATGTCCTGCTGTCCTTCCAAAGGCTCAAAACTTAAACCTGTCCTCCCAAAGACTGAAAACTTAAACCTGTCCTCCCAAAGGCTCAAAACTTAAACCTGTCCTCCCAAAGGCTCAAAACTTAAACCTGTCCTCCCAAAGACTGGAAACTTAAACCCGAGCTTGCCCCAGAACCTGCAATGGGCTGTTCTCCCAAAGACTAAAAACTTAAACCTGTTCTCCCAAAGGCTCAAAACTTAAACCTGTCCTCCCAAAGGTTCAAACTTAAACCTGTCCTCCCAAAGACTGAAAACTTAAACCTGTCCTCCCAAAAACTAAAAACTTAAACCTCTTCTCCCAAAGGCTCAAAACTTAAACCTGTTCTCCCAAAGGCTCAAAACTTAAACCTGTCCTCCCAAAGGCTCAAAACTTGCTCTTGCAAGAGGAGAAGCCGCCCCCCACTCTGGAAGCCCTTGGAGCAGCTCCTCGCTGGGTTCTGCTCGGCCCGGTCCCGTCTCAGACCCATCCCTGCAGCCGTGACTGGAATGTCAGGGAGCTGCTAATCCCGGCTCTCCCGTGTGCTGGGACAGCCTGGAACGAGTCCTGAGCGTAGTGAGGGCGAATTAAACCCTGAACAAACCCAAACCCCTCATTTTTAGCACATCAGCCCTTGGCAGAGGAGCGGGTGGGGATGTCGATGCCAACGAGAGGGTTTTGGAAGCTCCGCTTCGTTCCAGCTGCCAGGGGCTGGATGTTCCCGCTGGTTCAGGTCTCCCAGTGCCCAAAATTCCCTGGCACGAGCCGGTGTCGATGGTGCTGCTGCTCTGCAGGGCTCGGGGGGGGGAAGGATCTCCGTGTTCCGTGAGAGCCGTCGGAGCAGAGGTTGGGTCAGACGCAGATCCCGCATCAAACGGGAGCTTTTAGGGGAAAATAAGTGGGTCATGTCTTGAAATAGGATCTCACTCGAGGTTTTCTCGGCGTGTGACGCTGGCCCGGGGTCGGGGACGTCTCCTGCTCCTGCTGTTCCCGGCTCCAGTGGCCTGGAAGTGCTGCTGGAGGAACTGGGTCGGGAATTGTGCCCGGGGGCCAAAGGAGTTGAGTTGGGGCTGGTTTGGGGGTAATTCAGAGCTTTGGGGTTAATTCAGAGCTTTGGGGTTAATTCAGAGCTTTGGTTCTACCCAGAGGAGGTGAGGAGGGACCTGTGGGTGAGCACAGGAGCTCAAACCCCCCTTAGGCCGCGCTCCCGGGTCTGAATTCCGTGCTCCCTGTTCCCTCAGGAGTTGTGTTCCCTCACGGGAGTCTCGGGGGGACGATTCCAAGAAAAAGGGCAAATTTGGAAAGCTCAGAACCCCCCCAGCCCACTGACCTGGGCTGTGACCCAAGCACTGGGATCCCTCTGCGTGGAAATCCCAGGCTGGAGTGTCTCAGCTCCACTCCAAGCTCTTGGAGACTCCCCACGAATCCAAACCCTCCTCGTTTTCCTTCCAACCCCGACGGGATTTGCCGGGTCTGTCGCAACCAGGCCCCGAGGATTGGCAGTATTTGCTTAACTGGGGCTGTGGGGAGGAGCTGAGCAAACAGGGAAAGGGCTTTGGAGGCGGGAATGCCGAGCTGGGAGCCGGGATTTTGGGGGCCAGCTGTGCCCAGGGCTGCTCAAATCCCTGGGGGCACCAGGAGAACTCAAATCCCTGATTTGGGGGCCAGCTGTGCCCAGAGCTGATCAAATCCCTGGGGGGACTGGGAGAACTCAAATCCCTGATTTTGGGGGCCAGCTGTGCCCAGGGCTGATCAAATCCCTGGGGGGAC